ATCGTTGTCTGCTCGATCTTGTTCCTCCTCGTTGTTCATATTTCCAATTTGTTCTCCACCATCTATTACTAATAAACATCCTTCATCACCAAAATCTTCCTGATTCTCAACAACTTCATTTAAAATACTTACACAAAGAAAAGTTTCTGTACAGACAGATATAAACCACTTTACGTTGTTGTCACAATCAATTATGATTGGTGCAGCTGGAGCTTTAGACATTATCGAGACGAGCTGAAATCTTCATTTTGTATAAACTCGTATCGATATTCAATGCCTCCTTAACTTTATCATATAGTTCCATGTAAGAAATTGTTTTTGCAACAAGAATAGGTATTGTTTTCCTTTTGCCATTTCCAGAATACTTCCATTTCCATCCACCTTCAACTGTCTGCTCATATTCAATTGGATAACAAACCGATATCCATACCATGTCCATGGTGTCCATAACCTGTAACTCAACATATAAATTTCATCAAATTTCAAACATCATACACTATTGATAATGATATGTACGTTGTCATGGATTTCAGAAAACGATATCTATGTCGTTCTCAATTTCATAAAACGATATGAATGTCGTTCTGTACTGAAAAAATCAAATACACGTTTCACGTGAAAACAATGTGAAAAAAGCCAATCATCCTTCACCACTTTACATTTCACTTCAATTAATACTAAGAAATAAAAACAAGGGGTAATGAAAATAAAATTGGAAGTAACCCATTTAAAGATCCAATCAAATCATAAAATAAATTCAAAATTATTATTGAAAAATGAACACCACAAACACATATACAACAATATGAACGGATGATTCAAAATAATGGAGAAAGAAAGTGGCTCAAATATCGAAAATTTACCATACCATCTCTTCTTCTCCAAATGCCCAATAAAAATATAGCAAGACTTTATTATTCACTTCAACCAAATGAATGTTCAAGGGAATGAGAATGTAGATTTTGTGATTTCATTAAGTAGAGAAGAAGATGATGATAAGAAATCAGTATGGCGGCATCTACAGTGGTTGAGTCGTTCTTAGAGGAGGGAGGGAAGGAGATTAGGGTTGAAAGGAAATTGAAATGAAAATAAGGGCAATATCATCATTTCACATACAAGGATATTTTAGTCTTTTACAAATTCTATTTTCCATATTTAATAACTTTAGGCCTTTCAACTAAAAGTCTTAGTTCCTGGTCTTTTTGAACAAATGTTTAGTTTGACCAAGCCTTTTAAATGAATCCCCCATAAAATTCTCTCAAGGGTCTGCTTGGAACCTCTTTTTGGGGAAGGGAAATGAGTTGGGAAGGCCATGCCCAATATATATTTTGTTCAATTGGCTTTTGACCAAAATTATAAAAATGAAAAGAATTTTAATTATTTGTAAAATAAAATTGGAGAAGAGATTGGAGTTTTTCTCTAAATTTGCTGAAGTCGTGATTTGAACCTTGGACGATAAATAAATATTTTAACTCCACAACCATTATGACAAATGATGATCTTTTGATATTTGTGGGCAAAAAATATATATATTATATTTCAAAAAATTGTTTCATTTTCACTTCAAAAATAAAATTTAATTAGAATTAAAATTTAACAATAATCCACTGGTTGAACCATTGATCAATAAATATGCATTCAAAATCATCTTCTCCTTAGAATTTAAACTCTTCTTTTTAAGTTTAAGGTCGTCTCTTCTTCGTAATTGATCTCCAGTGCACCCAATGTTTTAACATTATCCACAACTCAGCAATTGGTCGAAAATAATTACTGAGTCATTTATTCATTAGATACATATTATAATACACGAAATTTTTTAAAATAAATTTTATTGTTATATTTTGAAAAGAAAAATGGACAAAAAAATATTTTTTAAATTTTTATCTTATTTAGAGTCCAATAATTAGATTTTAATAAAAAGCGATGTAGTATATCAATATTGTATTCATTTTAAAGCTTTTAATTGATAAGAACTATTTAACTCAAGATAAAATCGATTCGGATAAGCCAACACCAAGATATTGCAGTTTGACAAAATCGTAAAATATAACTTATCAACTTAATAAAAATGTGGAATGGAAATGAATTGCTGACACCGTTTCACTGATTTGCATAATAATATTGAAATCATTTCTGAAATATAAAGCGACTTCGATATTGTTTCAGCGTCGATCAAATACACTCCGCTTAACTGATTTGTATAACGACATTGAATTCGTTCCTGAAATACAAAAAATGATGTATATGTCGTTTCGATATCGAACACACAATGCTTCACTGTTTAAAAGGTTTGGCACACGCTATGGAATAAGTAAACAACGTTTATATCGTTTCAATACAGTTTTCGACGACAGTGATATCGTTCCTATTTAATCGGAACTATAATATCATATATATTGTTTCAGGAGTGGTTACACTAGAAAGTTATGACTACGATATTAAATATAATTGAAATTTACATATTTTCGTGACTTTTTATAATTTTTAAGTTTACGTATTGTACATGTTTAGAATGTAAAACATTGTGCATATTCATGTAACGATATACACTTCGATCCGATGACACATAGAGTAGTTGATGTCGTTCTAGTATAAAATGTTCTTATTCTAATAATGACTTTTAAATTTTTCACTAGGCACAAAATAATAATTAAAACGACATATGCATTGTTTCTTTTCAATTTTAACGAGTTTGAAATCATTACAGTTTAAATAATAATTAGAACGGCATATGATGACCGAAAGAAGGCATCAAGTGAATTGATAGCACTCGAATGGCTCAGAAAAAGAGCGAATGGATACTATCTTTCTTTCTGTTGAATGAGATTAACCTCACTTAGTGACTTATTTTATCATCCTATGTACAACAAATATATATCATGTGACTGTGGATGATCGAATCGTCATTTTTATAATTATCGTTTTTATTTATCGTTTTAGTTAAGATTTAAACTAAGGCGATATCAATGTTATCAAAATTGTACTGAAACGATAATAATATATTTATGTATCAAACCCACAAAATAAGATAACAACATCCAAATCGTTATAGTACAAATTTAATGAGTTTGAAATCATCTCAAATCAAATCACAGTGATAACAATATAGATATCGTTTATTTTCATATAAAATGATATTTATATCGTTCTAACTAAATATAAAGATTCAACTGTTCACAACCACCTGTTCCGCTTTCAGCGTACGTTTAACAATCGAGAAATGTCATTAAGTGAATTGATATCACTGAAATGACTTATAAAGAGTGAACGAAAATACTTTCTGTCTAAATAGTTCGAAGGTGTATAAGAACAAAAATTTTCTCATAGTTTCTTTTGAGGGAGATCGAACCCACTTGATTATCTATTTTGATCATCCTACATATGTCAGATGCATGTCTGGTGGTCGTGGACAGTTGAATCGTTATTTTTAGCATAAACGATATAAAATGTCGTTTTATTTTAATTGAAACGATATGTATTTAGTTTTAGTTATGATTTAAGCTAAAACGATATCAACGTCGTCAAATTTGTATAGAAAGGATAATGATATCGTCATGTATTAAAATCATAAATAAATTAACGATATTCATATCGTTTTAGTACAAATTTGACGAGTTTGAAATCGTTCCAATTCAAATCACAAGTATAACGACGTAGATATCGTTTCTTTTCATATAAAACAATAATTATATCGTTCTGGATAAAAATAACGAGTCGATTGTCGACAAACACCCGTCATGCCTTCGGCATACATAGAAAGATCGAAAGAGGTCATCAAGTGGATTTTGATACCACTTGAATGACCTAAAAAGAGTAAATGAAAATACTTTCTGTCAAAATAATTAAAATGTGATATAAAATCATGAGAACAAAAATGTTCTCATAGTTTCTTTTGAGGGTGATCGAACTCACTTGATTACCTATTTTGATCATCATGCATATATCAGATGCATGTTTGGTGGTCGTGGACGGTCAAATCCTTATTTTTAGTATAAACAATATAAGTATCATTTTATTTTAACTCAAACGATATGTAATTAGTTTTAGTTATGATTTAAACTAAAACGATATCAACGTCGTCAAACTTGTATTTGAAACGATAATGATATTGTTATGTATCAAAATCACAAATAAAATAACGATATTTATATCGTTTTAATACAAATTTAACAAATTTGAAATAGTTACAATTCAAATCACATGTATAACAACGTAGATATCGTTTCTTTTCATATAAAACGATAATTATATCGTTTTGAATAAAAATAACAATTCGACCGTCAACAACTACCTGTCATGCCTTCAGCATACGTAGGACGATTGAAAGAGGTCATCAAGTGAGTTTTGATACCACTCGAATGACTTAAAAAGAGCGAATGAAAATACTTTATGTCAGAATAATTAAAAGGTGGTTTACAATTATGAGAACAAAAATGTTCTCATAGTTTCTTTTGAGGGAGATCGAACCCACTTGATTGCCTAATTTGATCATCCTACATATTTCAGATGCATGTATGGTGGTCGTGGACGGTTGAATCATTATTTTTAGCAAAAACGAAATAAGTATCGTTTTATTTTAACTGAAACAATATACGTGTAGTTTTAATTATGATTTAAACTAAAACGATATCAACGTCGTCAACCTTGTATTGAAACGATAATGATGTCGTTATGTATCAAAATCACAAACAAAGTAACGATATTCATATTGTTTTAGTACAAATTTTACGAGTTTGGAATCATTCCAATTCAAATCACAAGTATAACGACATATATATGATTTTTTTTCATATAAAATGATAATTATATCGTTTTGGATGAAAATAATGATTTGACCATCCACAACCATCTGTCATGCCTTCAACATATGTAAGACGATTGAAAGAGGTCATCAAGTAGGTTGATACCATTCGAATGACTTTAAAAGAGCGAACGAAAATACTTTCTGTCAGAATTGTTCGAAAATGGTATACAATCATGAGAACAAAAATGTTCTCATAATTTCCTTTGAATGAGATCGAACCCAATTGATTATCTATTTTGATCATCCAACATACATCACACGCATGTCTGGTGGTCGTGAACGGTAGAATCGTTATTTTTAATAGAAATGATATAATTATCGTTTTATTTTAACTGAAACGATAAGTATGTAATTTTAGTTATGATTTAAGCTAAAACAATATCAAAGTCATCAAACTTGTACTGAAATGATAATGATATCGTTATGTATCAAAATCACAAATAAAGTAAGGATATTCATATCGTTTTAGTGCAAATTTGAATAGTTTGAAATTGTTTCAATTCAAATTACAAGTATAACGACATAGATACCGTTTCTTTTCATATAAAACGATAATTATATCATTCTAACTAAAAGTAGATTCGACCATCCACAACTTCCCGTCATGCCTTCAATATCGTTACGTTGTTCAGTGCACTTTTTTTATTTGAAGGACATCTATATCATTTTGAGCTTCAGGAACGACTTCCATGTCATTCTTAGAATGAGTGCATTTTTGTACAGGAACGATTTATATATCATTTATGTATAGTCATAACAACTTTTATGTCGTTACCAAAATAAGTTAAGCAGTGTGTATTTCATACTGAAACAATATAGATATCGTTTTTTATTACAGGAACGATTTCAATATCGTTATATTAGTCACTATACTTTTTTGTATTGGAACGACATCTATATCGTTTTGTGCTTCAAGAACGACTTCAGTGTCGTAATTAAAATCAATACATTTTTGTACTACAACGATCTTAAAACACTTTGTTTCAAAAGGAAGAAAATATATATTGTCATTAGATTGATTGCATTTACATCAACTGTAACTATATGAACTTCGTTTACATTTCAATAGTGTAAAAGCATTTCAATAGTACAATAACCACAAAATTTAATAAATCATCTTGTGCTTCAAATAAGCACATAATTATAAAGTTACAAATCAGGACAATATTACAACATTAATCTCAGACGATTATTACTCGAGAACTTCAAGAATCATGAATGTTTTGGAAAAAAATTATAAAAATAGAAATGAACGATCGATTAATATAGTCTTTATGGATCCATTGAATAATTTTGATCATTTATAATCTCAGCACTGTCACAAATTTAGGAACTATGAGTATGAATTATGATGATAAACAAGTAAGTTCATCTAGGATATAAGCCAGCCATTACATTAAAGTTTCTATCGTACACACATATATACACATACTTTCGACCTATATCTTGTTAAAACTAAAGGAATAAATTGTTTAAAATTCTGGACCAATTGTTTCTATGTAAAAAAGTCATCCACCAGTAGCACCTAAAGAAAAAGGAAAAAAACGACGTTCCCCATTTTTCTTTGGGTCGGGGATGGAAAAGGCTGACACAATATTCGACCTGCTATGTTCAATTCCTCTTAGAGTAAAGTTGAGTAAGCATGTCCCTCAAGAGAGATGCAGTACGAAATCACAAAGTAAACATTCAAATTTCTAAATCTTTATATTGAAAGCAAGTAAATGAGCAAGATAACACAGACGATGATTATGTAATTTGTAGGAAATAATTCCAAATCAATTATCCATTATAAATATAAATGAAATAATAAAAGAGTATGCTCCAACAAAGCCAAGGTACTGATTTCTATTTCAATGTATTGGTTTATTCCATCTTATTTGGGAATAAAAACATGCAATCCACTGATATATTATGACTGTACTTCTAACCATTTGATGTTGTGAATAAATTCTTTAATCATTCGATTTTTCCAATTAAATTTTGAAAAAGTTGTGAATTGATGTTCAACACCTCTTTGACTTTATCATATAATTCCACCTAAGAAATAGTTTTTGCAACAAGATTAGGAGTTGTTTTTTCTTTTTTATTCCCTGCATATTTTCATTTTTAAACACATTCAACCGACTACTCATATTCAACTGGAAAACAAATTGATATCCATACCATATTCGCGGTGTCCATAACTGTAATTCAATATTAAAATTTCATCAAATTTCAAACATTGTACAGTACTGATAATGATATGTAAGTTGTTACGAATTGCAAAAAACGATATGTAAGTCGTTATGTACAGACGAAAATTAAATGTATGTTTTACAATAGACCAATAAAAAGAATAGCCAAACATGCCTTTGCAAACTTACATTTTACTCTAACTGATAAAAATGATGAGTAATGAGAAAAGGGTTTGAAAGTAATCCATATCAAAACTCTAATCTAATGATAAAATTAATTCAAAATCATTGTTCACAAATAAAAATCATAAACATATATACAATAACCTGAAGAAATTATTCAAAAAATAGACAAAGAAACTAACCCAAAAATTGAAAATTACAACACTCCCTTCTTCTCCAAATGCCCGACAATAATATTGCAAGATTTTATTACTCACTTCAACCAAATGAGTGTTCAAGGAAAAGGAAATGTAGAGTTTATGGTTTCATTAAGTAGAGAAAAATGATGATGACAAAGAAAGAAATTGCATACCTCTACTGCCAATTTTTGAAGAGCAAATGGAAGGAAGGTAGAATTTAATTAGGGACAAATGGGAATTGAAATGAGAATTAGGGCAGCAATGTCTTTTTTGTATGTAAGGTCATTTTAGTCATTTACAAATTATATTATTCATTTTCCATATCTTTAGGCCTTTTATCCAAAACACTTAGTTTGTGGACTTTTCAAACTAATGTTTTGTTTGACTAGGCTTTTTAAATGAAAGCCCCCAAGTTTTTTCGCCGATTTTGTTCATTTTTAGATGAGGTCATTCACATAAGAAGTTTAAAAAATCAATATTTCTTAGTTTTTGAGACATTAATAATGTAATTTGGATTGTATTTTTCAACTCATTTACATTGGTTGCCATGTTAGATTTAACTTGTAAATGCCAAATATTATACGGACAAAAATCAACTTTGCGAGTTTGATGACTTTATTAAAAATGTAGAATTCTGATAAAATGAATAGAGTTCTTTCGGCAACTCCTTTTTGTTTTGGTTTGGTATGCCCGAAGTTTCCAACGGTGTTCGATGAATCTATGATACCGTACTCGTATGCACGGCTCTACTTTCACCTTTCGGCATAGAAAAGAAAAATCATGGAATACCCAAATAAGCCATGCTTAGCATCATAATTGTCGAGCCTGACCATGTAGAATACCAAATCAATTAAGGATTTCATTGCCCGGGAAGAAGTAGCTCGACTATCACAAATTCTGTCAAGCCTGGACGGAGTTAAATACCTTGTTGTATTGTCGGGAATTTAATTTGTTCGTCTGAAATTCTGTAGAATACTTGATAGTGTAACAGTGTTCGAGTCACACTTCCAGTCGATATACTGAAGAAAAAAGACACCCATAATCTGTTTCAATCGTGTCCAGTCGATATACAAAACATTGCTCAAGTGATTTGAAAATGTTGGGAATTTACACATATTTGGGGGGATGAAAACCATACAACTAATTAACATATGATTGCACAAGAACACAACAAAGAGATCCCAGATAATGGAGAAGTACCATCTTTTGCACGTATAACTTCAATCCTTGATGAAATTGCAAAAATAAAAGTGATATTGAGTACAATAAGCACATGATTAGACACAAAATCTTTACAACTAAACCTCGTAGGTATGAAAATCTGAAGTCTAACTATACAACAAATGAGGGATTCCACGTATAAAAGTTTCATAATCGATCACAATGAAGACACAGAATTGCTTAGGCATGAAGACTGCTGAACCAACCCACTCGAGACTTTGAATTGTGTTAATTATACATAAAACCCACATAATTACAAAATTGAGAATGAAATCAATAACAAGAAAGATTATATTTGATCCCAACAATGGGAAAAACACCTAGTTTCGAGATTGTTTCCTCTAGATTTTCTTTACCTTCTTTCGGTAAAATTTTCTGAGACTGATAGTCTCCGGTTGAACTTCCAATCCTTGGACCAACCGATTAAGGAAGGATAGAATGCATTGGTGAATTTCCGAGGAGCCGTATGAGGCTCTTCTTTCTTGTTTTTCCTCCGGGTAGCTGCACTTGTTGCTGAATTATTTCTCAGCAATCGGGATGATTTTGGATCAAAAATCGAGGAATTCAAAGAAGCATCAGAAGCGCCAAAAGATACGGGGCCATTTTGTGATGATAAATCCATAGGGTATCCAACCGATCCATCCTGATGGGGTGGTGGAAATTTCTCAATCTTTGTCTTAGCATTAGTTTGAGACTCAACTCGCAACCGCTGTAGAATATTGTGGGTGCAAAGAAGGAAATCATTAGATTTTAAGCAAATGAGTCCCTAAAGGTAGATTCCACACACGACACTCAATTATATACACAAACTAGAAAAAGACAGATAAAAGAGTTCAAAGATTAAGCCCTTGTTTGAGCCCCATTTTGGGGGAAAGAATGCATTTTGAATGGTAGATTGATGGAGAATGTGTGGTTAAAAATTAAGGAAAAGTTTTGGATTTGCATGTAATATTATTTTATTGAAGAATGTGTAGCTGAAAATGAGTTTTGGAAAAATAAATTTTTAGAAGAATAGGGCTCAAACAAGGGCCAAAAATGGTGTTTTGCAGAACAGCCAAAATTTTCTTTTAGTGAGGTCTACAACATCACTAAAGTAGCTCCTAATCTTATTAAAATCATTCTGTATCATCATCTTATCATGGAATTCTTAGCAGTTGCAGTTAGAGTAAAAACATAGAACCATAAAATTGCTCTCAAGAAAATCCTAAACACAGTGTAATGATTCACTTCAGCATGAACGTTCCACTTAATAATGAGATTCGCTGAGTTCTTTAAATTCCTTTTCAATTTTTATTTTTTAAAGGGTTCAACGGATTTCACCCCTCCCCTCCTAAAGGAGGCTCAAAAACAGGTCATCAGCTTGGTAAGACTTTGCTCTTACCACTTGAGCTACGTCCTGGCCCTAGTGTTCTTTAAATTGATAAAGAATAAACACTTGATTTCTTTCTCAATGCAGCTATTCGATATGTGGAATCATAACAATAAATAGCAATTCCTTTCTCAGTATTCAACATCTGTGTTTTTTTTCCAAGCATTTTTGGCTAGGGTTCCTTATGCTTAAAAGTAAAAGAAGTTACCTATTTTGAAATTAACTCTTACCTCAGTGTCGAAGTAAGTTACTTGATCCAACTATGAATTAAATATGTTATTATTTTCAAGGTGAACTTTTTAAGCTTAGCAAAACTTGGAGAACGCAGTCCTCTTACTAAAAGTTGATTGTAATCCCACAGATTCACTATTTCTTTAACTGAGCATTCAAGTCAGTTTGTTTCCTCCTTCGATTTCCTTCTCTTGATTCTTGCTGTTATTTTTCTCTCTTTTTTATGGTCTTATGCAAGATTAATAAAAATTTTCTTAAAATACAAGCAAGAGGGTACAACATAGCAAAGAACAAATCCACTGAGCTCAAATTGCATGCAGGACTTTAAATTCCTTAACCAGCACAAGCCCAGTAAGTCAGCGCATCAAATACCACCTTTTACACCCCACGGTTCATCAGAAAGACAGCAGTATTTTTTTCAATTATATTATAAGAGATGATAAGCTCTCCAAATGACACCTTTTACAACTCACACTTCATCAGAAAGACAGTGGTAATTTTTTAATTATATTATAAAAGATGGTAACTAAGATAGCATTTGGCATGGTAATATAGCGCAGAAACAAAATGGAATCCGTTTGACTTACATCTAAGTTAACTTGTAGCTCGGCGTTGGCTTCTGGTGCTGGAATTGCTCGGCCGACCCTTTCATGAACTCTCACTCGTCTGGTTCCATCTACTGCATGAGCTTTCCCACCTAAATCTCGTTGCCTGTAGTCAAGATAAATGTCAGCATATAATTGACATTGGTCAAAAAGTTTCTTGACATCAAGTAAAAGCACCTTCTCGCTTCTTCAACTCTCAATTTTATATCCATTTCCTTGCTTGGAGGATACTTCGGTAAGCTTGATGGCTCACAGGGATATGGTTCGGTGGTAAAGAACTGTTCATAAAAAAGATAATGAATTCTATCACGAGCAATTCTGCCACCAGTTCGCTTGTTCATAATTGATTTTACTAATTAAAACCCCCATCTCCATCAAAAATGCACTAGACAAATACAAATTGCAAAAAACACTAAGCGAGAAGTAAACATCTAACAGTAAAAGATGTTGATTTTATAAGCAAATTTCTTAATATATACCACCTGCAAGAGGTAATACTTCTGATGATTGGTTATAAACAATCTGCCAGTATGAGGATTAGCAAGGCAAGAATATTCGAATAAATGAGTTTGTTAAAACAGAACGTTTTAATGGAGAAATAAAATGGACAAGAAAATGAAATAAGAACAGACAAAATTTTGACATGGTACAGCTATTAGCATGCGTGCAAGACAACAGAGCAGTGACAAAAGTTCACTAAATGCAACTGAATATTGCAAGGGCCAATGGCTTACTCTCACTCACGTATACGAAGTCCACATATACCAAAGGACACTTGTATTGAAACTTACACCCAAATACTCAACTCTCTAAAACGGAACACAGAGCATAATCACTCATACTCGGATAAGGGACTTCACCTCAAAAAATTTGGACGTACTTCAATTGAGAAAGAGCTTGGCACTTTATAGCCAAAGTTGGACAGGTAAAGAGCCATCATGCACACACATGGCTCGTTTGTTGCCACAAATGTGGCTGAATCCCTTATACTCAATAAGTCTAATGAAGTCCCAGAGCTCACCAAAGATAGTTACACAAGAGTATCACTTGATTTTGAGATATAAAATTCCACTTAGTAGAAATATTTTGTGAGAGTTTGGGGATCTAGTACTTTGTAATCCTTTATATTCTCCCCTTTCATATAAGTGAAATTCTTATCTTCTCGGTACATGGACGTAGGCCAAGTGCCGAACTAAGTTAATTTTCTGTGTTATTTCTCTCTTATATTTTGCCTAGACCTTAATGCGGGGGCTTGTGCATAACGATTGGTAACAGAGCAATATCAGAATTATCTTTGACCACTGTAGCCACGTCACTGACGCTTGAAGATGTATCAATAGGTTTTGTTTTATCTTTGAGTTCCAGACAATCAATTTTCCAAAGCTTTCTCTGTGAAAATAGTTGTATTTTCTTCTTCTAACTCTAGATTTATTTCTAGGCAGGTATCTAATCTCTGATTTCCTTTCTTTGACCGATCGGTAATCAACCCATCCAACTTCGACTACAAGTAGCTAAGCCCTCATTCAATTGAGGCACGGCTAAAATTTTTTCACCATTAAATTTCTCCACATCCAGTTTTGAACTCCGAAACCAGTTTGTTGGAACATAGCATTGATACGAAGTGGACAAGAAAATAAAAGAAGCACCCAAAGGACCTAGAGAGTTCACATGGTTAGGTTATTAACTGTCCATGATCACAGAGCGGCCAAAAAATTCACCACCAAAAAGCTGAATGTTAAAGGAGCCAATAACTTACTCTCACTCGCTTAAACAAAGACCACATACACCAAATTAAAATTTTCGAAAATCTCATTATACTAATACTGAACTCTTTACAATGGAATACAAGGAGCATAAACACAGAGACTTCAATTGGCTTTTAGAGCATGTAGATGCTAGGTAGACGTTACTAGCTGATATATGTATATCTTACATAGATGCAGGTCGTAATGATTCTCTGTGTTCAAAGCCATTGCTCCTGCTGGGATGCATAATTATGTTTCCTAAGAGTGAATTAACTAGCAAACAACCTCTCATTCCAAATGATATCTATAGTGATGGTCATGTGTGCAATCAGTAGTAGTAAACCTTCATCCAGTTATATTGTCGGAAACGAATCTGTAAATGTTGCATTGAGGATATAATAAATCTATCTGATAAACATTTAAAAGTGAACCCTATTTTTCAAAAAAAATTATACAGTTTCGAGGAATACTCACTTCAGATTTAATAAACCTATCTAATAGATATTTAAAAGTGAACCTTTTTTTCAAACAAAAATTATATAGTTTCGAGGAATACTCACTTCACTATTTAATGCGGCACTGGCAGAGCCTCGAGCATCAGGGTCAATTGCAAGAAGAGTTTCTACCAGAGCGAGAGCTGATGGCGGAAATTCCTTGAATGTCTCTGCTATGCAACACTTGTAAGGTTGCTGAGGTTTATAAAGAGTAGCATTTGGCAATCTGGATTTCTTCCAATATTCCTCTGATGGAGACCCACATAATTTAAAGATCTTGTGAAGTTGCTCAACCTAATTAGCAAAGAAATCGAGAATGAAGATTTTGAACTTGGACAATTACCCATGACAATAATGATTAAATAGAATGATTTTCAGCAGTCAGAAGCTAAAGTTCACAAAATTAGAAATTTCCCTCGTCAGATAATGGAAAATACATATTGAAGAAGTTGACACTAGTAGATGGACTAAATATGAATGTTAATGATATATTTACGTCATGATGATGAAGGGGATGATTCCAGTTTATGGGATTGCTTAAACGATTGTATCAGACAAAGCAAATCTGAGAGAGAATACCTCTGTCCGTCCCCGCATTATTGGTTTCCCAACAAACAACTCTGCCAAAATGCAGCCTGCACTCCATAAATCAACACCAGGCCCATAATAAGTGGCCCCTAATAAAAGTTCTGGAGGACGGTACCAGAGCGTGACAACACGACTGGTCATGGGTTTCTTGCTTTCAGGATCATAAAAAGAAGCTAACCCAAAATCGGCTATTTTTAAGATTCCTTCATCGTCAATTAACAAATTAGAGCATTTGATATCACGATGTAAAACACCATTGTTGTGGCAATGCTCAAGCCCAGAGAGTAATTGTTTCATAAAAGATTTGACCTGCAACAGGAAATATAATCATGATAAGCCACTCAAATATTCATAACATTGCTAATAAACAAGACTGCTGACACTATAGTAATTTTTTATCAAATTTTCTCAAAAGTCTAGTAAAGATGGTAACGTCGAAATGCTTGTTGACAATGTTGCAAAATATAATGCTACAGTGAACAAAGAAAAATTTCCACTCCAGATGGAAAATTCATTCTTTATAGTTCTTTATGGGCTGACCTTTGACTTCTATACTGCATAGTTTCACCTCACTGCATCATTCTGTAAGTCTGTTTCCTAGCAGTGCTTGGAGTTTATAATTTGAGTGTGAAAGAAACGAGTCCCAACAGACTATTTCTTAAAGCTTAGATTTTTATAAACATCTATCTTTCGATACAAATACCGATATTATATATATGAACAATAATAAATTCTGAGTATTTGTTAATACAAGCGTGCACAATTTCTTGGACAGTGATATTTAGCTGCAGACAATTTTAAGTTGCCCTATTGCACAACGTCTAAGCTTAAAATTCTTTCTCAAACTTGCAAACCATTTCAACGTCATTCGATAGCTTGTTAAACCTTCCATCAATCGTCAAAAAGAAAAGGACAATATGCCACCCTTCCCGAGTGGTGGCGCCGCCAGTTCTCAGTCGAAACTCCGGCGCAGAAGCCGAAGGTCTAAGGAGTCCCTCATCTCCCGCCGGAATCTCTCCGATCTTCTTCTCTCTTTCACCATCGTTCTGAACCCTTGTAAGGTCGGGTTCTGAAGCTTGCTTATTTTCTTCCCTGCGGCGGGAACTCCTCCGAGATTCTTTTTCCTTGGCATCACTTTTCCCAAGAACACAGCCCATTGCAAAAAAATCAAATATTTCAATAAACTAAACTCAAATTTCAGCCGCCATCATCTTATTTCAACAAATTTATCAGTTTCAAGAAATCAAATTTGAGACTTTTCTATAAAAAAAACAAAAATAAGCCCAATCGGAAAAGCAGTTAGATATGCAAAACCGCTTTGCATTTATTCCTCCTTCCCCTTTGTGTATGTTTTGATTCAATTGAAGACTAACAATTCAACAGAAGAAATCATTTGAATCAGATACCCAGTGAAGCGAAAAATTTACTAATAACCACACAAAAGAACGCTGCTATCATAATAGTCCGTGACAGACTGCATCTGCATTTATTGCACTGTGTCTGTTTTGTATATTTTGAATTCAAGAAAATGAGGTCCCGAAGACAATCATATTTGTGCTTCTGCAAATAAACAAAACACAGAGAGAAGAAAAGTTGTGTCCTTTTCTTTTCGTATTTGCGTCAGCATTCGATTGATTAATTAACAGTTTTTCAGGTTTATTACTGGCATCAAACTCAAAGTTTTTCAGATAAATATTAATGTTTCAACGATTAATTTTAATTACGTTCATGAAATCTAAAGTTAATTGTTCCAATAGTCACTAAATTTAAATTTATATCTTTAATTGGTCATTAAATTTTAAAATGTCGAGTTTTGATCACTAAACTTATGTCTATGTCTTTGGTTGGCCGTTGAAGTTTAAAATGTCGAGTTTTGATCATTGAACTTAGATTCATGTCTTCGATTACTCACTGAAGTTTAAAATGTCAAGTTTTGACCACTAAACTTCTGAAAATATTATATATTACTCACTGAATTTTGAAAAATATTGTATATTATTCATTATAAACTCAATATTTTTCAAAATTCGATAGTTATACTAGTGAATAACGTACGGCATATTTCAAATTCAGTGGCAAAAACTCGACATTTTAAACTTCAATGAGCAATCTAAGACATGAACCTAAGTTCAGTGAGCAATCAAAGATATTAACCTAAGTTCAGTGATCAAAACTCGACATTTTAAATTTCAATAATCAATCAAAAATATGGACCTAAATTAAGTAACCAAAACTAAACATTTTTCAAAGTTCGGTAGTTAAAACTCGACATTTTAAAGTTCAGTAACCATTGTAATGATTAACTCTAAAATCTATGACTTTTCAAATGTACATTCCATTAACTTTTATTAAAATTTACTTTAATTCCTACCAAACAATGATTGCTTATTTTTGTTATTGTTCTTTTAGAAGAAATTTTTTGAGAAAACTATCTAAGTTTTTAAACTTACCCGGTAAATTTTTAGATAAATCATTTCATAAAAAAAATTGTCTATGTAGGCTTAAAAATGGCTTTTGAAGTCTCAAAATCAACTTTCTACTTTTTAAAATGCATGCCAAACTGCCCTTATATACGTGTATAACCGTTCAAAAATAATTCAAGTTCAATGATGTATTAATTATACTATGGTTCATAAATAATCACATAGTCCAAACATTATTGAATTATCCATAACATAAAAGCTAATTATGAGGAATTTAATAAAATTTTGGACGATTTTCATTGATGTGCACTAAAATAAATATAAAAACTAGCGGTATATTTTTTTATTTTTTTATGATCGTGGGTGTTCGAATTAGTTTATGCGCACCTCAATTAATCTCATGAGTCTTAAAATTTATAGTCGAATACTCACCTTAATGATTTTGAGGGGACTCGAAGTGGTGACCATTGAAAAACAAATTTAAAATCTGATCACTAAACTACCCCTAAGAGTAAAAAACTAATGCTACAGTTAAAGAGTTTTTGTCACTATTTAAAAATAACTAATTATATGGTATTATTTTATTGTATCAACAAATTGTAGTGCTGATTAATATTATAAATTTGTAGTTTTTTAATTAGGAAATATTTTCTAATTTTACATTGTATTTACTATTTATTGGTATCAAGTTCTGTTCACGATAAATAAATTTAAATGCAAATATGGAGATAGAGAAAAGGAAATGCTCACACTTTACCTAACGACTTCGCCAAACTTATTAAAAAGGGAAAATTTTGCATTAGTTAATTATTATTATTATTATTTGTAATAAATTTTAATCGTGTGATCAATAATAATAGAGGAACAAATGTACTACGTTGTTTTCAATAACATGATTTAATATTTTATTAATTGTACTACATTTTAAAAATATATTAAATAATTTAATATTTTCGTAAGCGAAACGCAATTATGTATGTTGTAATATATGTAGAAGTAATTTGAATATATAAATAATTTTTCAGCCATATAAATTGTTGAGAATAAAAAATGAAGAAAATTATTAAATGTTGTTCATTTGGTGCAATTTTTGGTGTAATGTGTTGGAGATGATTTTTAATTTTGTGCAAGATTTGATGCATAGTTGTGCAAATTTTGGTGCAGAATTGAAAATGGTCTAATGGCATCTCTAATGCTATCACCAAAACACCAAATTTTTGGAAATGATCTAATGGCATCTCTAATGCTATCACCAAAACATCAAATTTCACAAAAATTTGATGATGATAATATTCACTATCATCATCATTTGTAGGAAAAACAAATGAATTTTGAGAATTAAATTGCAATGATATTTCGACATTGTAATATCATAATATTCAAATTCAGAATGCAGTGCACTGTTTTTTGTATTTATTAATGAATTTAATATATTTTTTTAATTTAACGTAAGTATTTATTTAGTAATTCATGTATTTGTAAAATAATAAATAAATAAAATTCAAATAAATAATTTTTTAAGAATAAAAAATATAAGAAACTGATTAAACACTATTCATTTAATGTAAGTTTGGTGTAATGGTTAGAAATGATTTTTAGTTTGATGCAAAATTTACCTCAAAATTTACTGCATGGTTGAAGATGCCCTAGAGATCTACTTTGAATCCTAGTATAGAAGTAGAGATTGATTTGAGGAGATTGTTCAATTGGAGTTGAGTAGAGTTAGTCCCACCCTATTAAAGAATATTAATCAAATCTCAACATTAGCATTACATGTGAAGTTTCAAGTGTCTTCTGTCATCTCTAACTATAGTTCAGTTCATTCTCTTGAATGCAAGTTCTTTTGAAGGATTCATCTATCTAATTGATGAATCATAAGAAGAAAATTCATGATTCATATTCTTAGTAAAAAAAGAATAAACAAATTGAATTCGTAGATTTCCCTAGGTCATATTATGAGGCAATAAAGTGTTCTTATCTTCAAGATTCATTGGAAGGGGCAACGCAACAAAATCATAAAGAAATGATCGAATCTTTTGACGCCCAAAAATACTACTGAGGTGCTAAAAAATGGTTGAAATAGTTCGACGGGAAGGTCAGCGTGACTATAGCCCTTGATAAATTTAGCAAAGATGAAAATAATTTATTCGATATTATGGATAACTAGATATGTAAGATGAAAATAATCCAAACAAAAATTAAATTTTATTAAGTGGTTCTAGAATCTTACCTCGTGTTTTGTAGAGATTTTTTAGAATAGATTTTGTAAAAAAAAAATGAAAAATATGGGTTGGTAGTAGAAAAAAATTATGGATCCTTCTGTGAAATTATTTTGTTGAAATAATGCGTAATTTAAAATTAGATTGAGAAAAATATGAATTTGAAAAAGCGGGGCCAAACATAAAA